TGGGGCCCCTTAATTGGAGGCCCATGGCCAAGGCCCCTCTCGCCCACCCCCAAGTCCGACTCTGACTGTCACTGTAGCTTGTTGTGGATGTGTTTATTAATTTTTTTTTTTAATACACAAAGAAGATATGCGAATGCATATTTATTAAGCGTGGATGCTAATTAAGGTTTTATATAGATAACTTCATATCTTATCTTTTATATCATTATGATATATTGGGTAAACCAACCCTCTAGGGCCAATATTTAAACTACACAATAAATCACAAATACAATTGACGAAGAGAAGATTTTATAGCGGAATAAACTTCATGCCAGCCATTCTGCGAAGGGTGAATCGTGTCCCAAAAGAAAGAAAGTTTGGGCTTATCACATACAATGTACTTCTTTGCTCCACTCTCATCCACACTCCCACATGAGTATTCCTTGCTCACCCCAACACAACACGGCTTTAGTGGATTAATCTGCAGTGAATTAATCTGGAGTGTCGAGTATCCTGCTATCCGAAAATGAGTTCAAGTAGTACATGAGTTCACATTTCTTGACCACCTTACATACAGATAAGGGGGATCCACATAAGCGGTACCAACCTCTATTAGAAAAGTGGTGAATAAGGTGATGAATAAATGTGACATATCCGAAAGTAATACTAGTAGAAAGGACAAAATTACAGTTCATTACAAAGAGTTAATTAATTAATTACCTTGATGGTGTTTTGGGAGCATAATTGCAGACAGAGATGCGTTATAAAGATCCAAGATTACAAATGAAGATTTCTTAGTCTCCTTGTTCAACTCTTCAACTTTTTGACGCAAAATCTGGTTATGGAAAATTGAAACCAAATTGGCAACTTCACTACAATTCTGATATGAAAGAAATGAAGTCATGCGGGGCAGACATCCCAGGGGCCCTATTGCTGTAACAGCTATTTTTCTCACTCCCAACCCATGTATACGCTCTAGATCCACAGCAAGCTGCTTAATAATGGATTTGGTGGCCGCTGCGAAATCCTGTCATTTGGAAGATACGAGTGCCATCAAGTTAGCATCAAGTCACCTCACAATGCAATATATCATGTATGTATAATGTATATTTGTGGCCATGCTATGAACCCTAAAATGATACATCATAGTTCAAAAACATTTGAGAACAATGGTTATATGAGTTTTCTTTAAGCGTTCCAACGCTCTATGAATGCCCATCATGTTATCAATGACATCTGGTTATTATTGACAAGGAACATAAGATAATTGCGCGGTATAATAATAGTTAAGTAAAATTTTAGAAATATCACATGAATTCATATGTTATTTTTCATTTTTTACATTAAAGAAAAACTTAAGAGATGTCATCTCGATTTTTCAAAATCCATGATTTGGCTCCATATGTTAACTCTGTTACATAATCTATTAAGGAAAATCATGTGTTGTACACACGTCTCACTTAAATTATTAAAGAAAAAACAAAAGCTTTCCCACTTGCCTACATTGCATGCATGTCAACAAACAGATAGAGTTAGCTTAACCACTTACCTCAGTGTGGTTGCCAAAATAAGCAGCGTAGTCGTTACCCGCAACTGATACGAGAGCAATGGACGAGTTAACAACGTCGTTTTTGGTACTATAGAGTTTTTGTTCAAGCAGCTGTTGGAAAAAGTCGATTTGGGTGGTCAAGTTTGGTCCACCAAACACTGTATCAAAAACACCTGTCCCTCCATATGCAAAGTTCATCCCAGACTCTAGTTTTGATTTCTTCACAAATTTTCTCAATGTGTAAGGCACGGGAGAGCCTACGCCCAAAAAGGAAGCTGCATTACATTGCAAGATCTCAGAGAGGCATTTCATAAAACAAAATAAAAATAAAATAAAATATTGGTTTTTTTCTTGTTTTCTTTTTGTTTTTAGAACTTGGTTTGAACAAACAATAATGCAATTACAAATTAAAATATAGAACAAATCATGCACTCTCAATCCCAATCTAGTAGTAAGAACATACACAGTTTGGGGTGTATTTTCGAGAGTGTAAAGCCACTTTAGCATTCACTTTACATCTCCGAATGGTGTAAATATAGTTTTTGCTCTAGTGGTGAATACGTAAATTCAAAGATATATATTTGATTTTCTTGTCTAAATTCTTTTTTGTGTTTTTTTTTTTAACTTTATAAAATTTATTTTATGCATGTTAGTTTAATTTATTTTTCCAAATAAATAGAATTAAAAATTTTATATAATATATATTTGAATTGTCCATGTTTAAACAATATATGAAGAGTAATTTCTTGTCAAATATTTCACATGTAAACATACTAGAAAAAGTAAAATTTAACTATAGAGGCAAACATACACTCATAATCTAACATATATTTTTGGACTGAGGAAAATACTCTTAAGAGAGAGAAAATGAACCTATATAATCAGTGAGCACGAAACCATCTGAAAATCGACCAGCTGGCTTTCCCGGAAAATTGATGCCATAAGGTTCCTTCCATGAAGCAGACACAGATTTTCCAGTATTTCCAGTATCAACATATGAATCCCCGAAAACGAAAAGCTTCATAGAACCATGACGATTATGACGATGGTGGTGATGATGTGCTTCAAGAACTTCTGCCATTATATATCAAAGGCAATAAGGGACAAAGAGTAAATATGACAATATAAATACATTTTTCTTTGTCTAAATAATAATTTGTGGCTACAATTAATATATGATTATCAAGAACATGTATATTTGTTTTTGTAGCACTAACCTGTAAACGTGGCGATGTATAAAAGGAAGAAACAAGAAGAGGCTATGGCTGTTTGCTTCTCCATTTAAAAGCAGAGATTTCGGATGTGTTGAAAAATAAAGAACTATATGATATGAAGTGATATTGTGGGTGGAAGAAACTGGCAGTCTTATATAGACTCTTTAGATTTCTTTTATATATATATGAGTATGATACAAAGCAATCGGTTAGGTTTTATAGCTTAGAAAAGGGGCTCACGAAATGTGTAGGTTATTATCATGACTAAAATTAAGCAAAATGCGGGAAAATACATAGATTTTAAATGCAAAGGTTGTGAATCCCCATAATATAATTCACCCCCTTTTAACTTTGGTGACATTATTAATACTATTTCCATTTGAGGAATTTTCCATTCTATAAACGTTTCTGAAATTCAACAATTTTGTTGCAACACTTGGAAAGTTGTGTATCTTTTCTAAATTTGGTGACCTTATTGGTACTATTTTCTCTATAATAAAAAATAATAATTATAGTATCCATAAATAAACTTACTTCAAAGCCAAACAAATTATTTTGATTTAAAGTCTTCATAACTTGAGCAGATGAAATGAGTTAAATGTCGCCCCATTTAGAGTTTGAATCATGAATGATCCCTGAATTTTTCAAGTCTTCATTTGAGTCCTCAAACTTTTAAAACAATGAATGTGGTCCTTAAATAGTCATCTACCCAGTTTGACTCTCGATGCCATTGGCCTGCATTATTGGCCTGCATTCTGTGAGGGCCTGCCTGGAGCCTTACATCGTTATTCTGGCCCAAATGGGAGGAGAAATGAGATCACTATCTAGCTTGTGGTGGCCACTTGGGCCATATTTTAGAAGGGAAAATGCACAAGGAGCCAACAGCTGAACGCCACAGTGCTGCATTTTAGGACTGGAGATCTCACTTCAGAAAAATGGCAGAAAAATAGCGGATCTTAGGATGGTTTAAGAGCACTTGGGTACACTTCCTTGGTAGCCGGTAGTTAGGGGAAAATTCTACCCATAGGCTCTTGACATTGCAGCAGAAAATATGTCAATTCCTTGAAGATGCAAAAATATTGTGGTACTGACAAAGTTCCTTATATGAACTCAATGTCAATATTTAGGATGCTGGTCACAAAATAATTCAATTCTTAGTGACAAATCTCTCTAGAACCTTCTCTCTCTTTCATCTGGTTGCTGGTCTGCTCTGACCCCTGCTGTATCTTGGCGGGCTAGTCTTGGCAACATCAACAACTATCATCCAGCCATTAATGATCTGCAAGAATCATCAACAAAAAATAGGCTAAGCTTTCCTCTTCAGAGTGTTGGATCTGTTTTATAAACATGTAAAACATGTAAACCAAAGACAAGAAAGACTACGCCTACGTGTTTTGATTTATTCGAATCAGTTTATAAAAATGAAAAGCATGTTGAAACTTGCCTTGCCATTCATCTCTCTGAGTGCTGCACTAGCAGCTTCCTCTGTGGTGTATTCTATGAATGCATAACCTTTGGACCTTTTAGAAATTTTGTCCATTATTATTTTAACTGTTGAGGCAAACATTTAATTAGAATGAGCATATACTGCCATCAAATTGAAAACCCCATTTTATGCTTTAAAAAAAAGTGCAGTACCTTCAACAAGCTCACCAAAGCCTTCAAATGCTGCTCGGAGGGTTTTCTCAGATGTATAAAATGATAGGCCTGTTCAGAAACTAAAATATTTTTAGCAATTTCAAGTGAATATGCAATGAGAGGGAAAAAGAAGCTACACATATTGAAGAATATCGAGATCTTTTGAAAAATTAAAATGGATAACTCTAGTAAAGAGTTAAAACATAGTTAGCTTTAAAGGGGTATTTTTTATTGTCTATTTGAAAATATTAGGCTTCCAAAGAATCAGATTAACAAGCAAGCAATTATATGTAAATAAAAGAACATCAATGTTTCACATCAGAATAAAAGTTGCAACATACCAGTAACAAAAAGTTTCTTTGTTTTTGTCGGGGTTGTTTCACTTGCCTCTCCAGATATCGACAGATCTGTAGAACTCTGCAAATTATTACCTGAGAAATACATATTCATAACAAATTGACATTGTTTACAGGTGGAACCTACTGCTTTAATGGTTAGCATTGGTGCCATTAAATAGAAAAGGACCTGAATAATGTCGGATAAAAACAACTATCATTGCACTCTTAAAAAGAAAATTTAAAAAAAAAAATCATAGTACTTTGTAATTACGAATAATTTCAGGTTGTTAACAACCCATTTCATGTTCCTTCAGGAATCTTTAACTTCATATAAACCATCAGCAATAAACAAAAATGACTGAGGTGAAATTTTTTTATTGAAATCACTAATAAATCCGGGTTTCCTACTACTTGATAAACATGGTACAAAATATGGCATCCTTTAGTGCAAGGGATCAGGAATAAAGCTAATAATTTAACAGAAAACTATAGTTCAACACACGTCAAGCTCCATCAGTTTATCAGATACTACCAAGCCTCTTCCCAAATATTTAAGAATTGTTAAGGAATGAGTAACCAAAATGATGTATTGAAGAACTCTATACGAAAAAATATTCAGGACCAGGAACCCATGACCTGTTGTCCGCTGAATCTGTTCTTTCTATGATCAGTAACAGGTCTCTTCTGACAATTATTGGCAAAACTCCAAGACTTTCACACACCATGAAATCAAGCTCTTTCTATTTTTACATTCCAGGATGTGTAATATTTACCTTTGAAATGAGGTTTGCATCATCTCATGGTGTCAGATAACCTACAAATTCGGCTGTAGCAATTATTTCCTTCAGCTTTCTCCTTGTGGTTAATCTCATTTACACCATTTTCTGCCCATATCAAAATTCAAAATATTCCTATGTTTGCGGGATTATGTGATTTCTATTGCAAGGTCATACACCTTCACAATCTTAACAATTGCTCTGAAAATCTTCTTGTGTTATACATTATCAAAGTCTTCCCAATTCCTATTCATTTGTTGACCAAGGAACAAAGTCATCTGGGCATCGATCCACATAACCTTCTAAGTCCAACCTTTTGGACTAAAATTACAATGACACATTTAAATTTTTCAACAAGTAGTAAGAAACAATTCTCTATGGATATCAAAAGTTACTCAAGAAATTTATATATTGCTCTATAAGTTATCTCGTCAGTGACATTGCTCTCTGAAGTTGAAAAGAAGACATTAGGTTTGCAACATCAGTTTAAAAGGCATTCAAATCAAGAAGCAAAGCCTAACCATTACATCTGATTCTAAGACGATAACCATAAGTAGATATTATTGAAGAAAGATCTTATAAAAGTTAGAAGAGGAGAAAACCTCCATAATCTTTGTTCTCCGACTCCCAATTCTTGTCAGGCTCAACAGATAAAACACCAGGAACACCTGCAGCAAATAGGATCATTGGTCCTCAAGAAGACAATTGTTAACACAAATGTGGCATAGAGAAACTAAGAGCATACACTAACCAGCTAATTCCCGTGCACACTCTTCATCAAGTTCACAACAGAACCCAAAGTTAGATTGCCAGGAAACATGATAAATACACATTTGTGCATCCTTCTCACTACCAAAAGAGCAAAATACAGTACCATACCAATTAGAAAAAACAAAGTAGTTTAAGAACGCAAACAGAATTGATGCTCAGAATCTAAGACTTACTTCCCCAAGACCTTTGTTAGTATCTGAGCATAATAATCAACCATTTGTGCCTTTGTAACAACCCCAATGCTGGGTTTATCCATTCGAACGAGCCACCTTTTGGTGTTGGAAAGAGGAAATAAGAAAGTACTTCCACTTTGAGGGTAAGACATAAAACCTGATTGAACATTTGGTGGACTATAATCCTTTTTTGCAGAACTATAATCCGGGTCAGGCTTAACCGATAAAACCCCCGGTAAACCTACATAAATTACATACAAATAATTAAGTCATTCAACAACATTAGCAATAACGAATGACCAAACCTCATAAAAGTTCATTATCTCTTCAAACAGAACATCTCAGAAGCACTCATTTCATGACAATCAAAAAAGAACACAAACATCCAGTCTGTAGCAAAAACCAATTCAATGAAACATCAGTGAAAATGATATAACTTTACATGCGAGCTTGTGGGAAGTTTCTTCCTCAATATCACAGCAAAAGCCAAAATGGGTATCCCAAGAAGCATCGTATATACACATTTGAGCATCCTTCTCACTGAAAACAAAAACATTAAAACACAATTCAGGCGAAAATCTAAGCAATGTCATATTGGAGAAAGAATTTATAGCATACCCACTTGCCCAAAACACTTTGAAGGGTTTTAACATAGTATTCAATAACTTCTTGTTTTGAATTGACCCCTTGTGGAGGAGCCTCCATGAGCACAATCCAGTGGCGTTTGTCACTGGAAGTGGAAGATAGAGGAAGAGAAGTGGAAGGTGAAGCTGTTGTTGATGTTGAAGCTGCACATGTGTTAACTGAGAAACAACTACAAGAACTGTGAGAAACAGAAGAAAAAGTAAATGGGTTCTTATGGGTTGGTGAGATGGGGAATCTGAGGCTCGTAGTGGGGGTTTGGGACTGGGTTTTGCGAGGTTTCAGTGAGAATTTTGTGGATACGATGAATGTTGGGGAGGGAGACAGAGACTCCATGGCTGCCTGCTATGGGTTTATTTTCATGAGTAGAGGAACTAGCGCTCTCTCTGCAGCAGCTGCATAATCCTCCGCTTATCTATTGTCTAAAAATTGACCAAAAAAAAAAAATCTATTGTCTAATCAGACAAATCTGCTGTAGCAATTTTATTCATTTATTTATTCCTTATCAATAACATTCCATATTCTTATTACTTTTAACAATTTCAATAATAAATTTGTACAAGTCCCTTCTAAAGATTCAGTTCATGCCCCCGGCCCCCTCTCTCCCAAAAAATATTTTATAACCGTTTTTACTTTGAGGGTCCACTCTCCTCTCCTCTCTTCCTTCCCTCTCTCCTTCCTTTATTTGTCTTTGTTTTGTAATGATTTTTCCTCCACTTATCACAGGCGGATGCGTCTCGGCGTTGGATCTTCACCTGCATTTCAATGTCGAATCTCTACCACAATCTTTTTTGCGGGTTCTTCATGTTTGGAATAAGTCGCAGAGACTATCTAGGTTTTCTGCTTAGTTTTCACTCTCATTTTAGAGTAATGCTATTTAGACACACAAGCTGACCACCTTATGTGACAACTGATGTGTCATGTCATATCAATTAATGAATGTTGTCATGTGTCTTCTATTTTTTATTTATTCTTTTTTCAATAATCCTTAAAACAAACTGAAAAAACAAAAGTAAAAAACCATAACATCCCTGGTAAGTGGCCTCACATCTGTTCTCAACTATTCCTCGCATCTCCACATCACTCCCTCCCTCCATTGTTGCTACACTGTGATAGGAGTATCGCTGGAACGTGGATGTGATAGGAGTATCGCGTCTCCACAGCACTCCCTTCCTAATATAGGTGAATCCTAAATTTTACCCAGGTATATAATATTTATATATATGAATATTTTGGTAGTCCTTCCAAGGACAGTCGCTTTGTCTCAACAATGGGTTGTTAATCCTTCCAAGGTCAGTCGCTTTGTCTCAGCCATACAATACTAAATAAGCAAGATGTAGAAACCATGTTGCATGAGGGATTGCTTATTTAATGTTAGCGAGATCCTAGCTTAATTAGGATATTTATTTCCTAGTTTATTATGATTATATTTCTTTTCTTTTTGTACAAATATTGTGTAATTAGGTTTTATCTTGTTTCCTAATTTGACCCTACTAGGGTTACATCCTTGTACTATAAATACTTTCTTTTAGAGAATGAAATATACCTTGAAAAATATTCTACCCATATTGTTTGACTTGGTATCAGAGCCAGGTTTTCTGGTGACCTTTGTATTGTGCCCACCCATGTTCTATCCCCATTTTTTTTTTCTCTACCTGTGCCGTGTGTGCCCTCTTGGGTTTGTGTATTGTGTTGTAGTGTTCGTGCCTCTATTGTGTTCGTGTCATTCCTGTGTTCGTGCATCTGCCGTATTTGTGCCTTTGTTGTGTTCCATTGTGTACTCTGCTATGTTCGTGTCTGTCTTCTTGTATCTGCCGTATTTGTGCCTCTGCTGTGTTCCGTTGTATACTCTGTCGTGATCTGTTGAGTTTCTGCTGCAATCATTGGTGATAACTCCATTGTTGGTATTGTTGCTGCAGCCTCTACAAATTTGTGTGTTTCTGATTCTATTCCAGGTACTGGCTCTAATACTTGGATAATTGACACTGGTGCTTCTAATCATATGATTTATGATGCTAAATTTTTTGAAGAGTTGTCTAGTAACACCTGTGACCCATACATAACTAGTGCTAATGGCTTGCCCTCTCCAATTACTGGTGAGGGCACAATCTCTCTCACTCTTACTCTGTCCTTGTCTCGTGAGTTACTAGTTTCCAATATCTATTGGTCGATTACTTGATACACTTAATGATTCTGCTAGTTTCTATCCTACGCATTGCTTTTTTCAGGATCTCAAGACTCACGAGACGATTGGGCATGGTAAACGGATAGTGGGGTTATATTATTTGACATTGCCTTTTGCACCAGTTTGTGATCGTGTCTTTAATACTGTTCAAAGTTGCAGTGTCAAAGACAAACAAAAAATTTGGTTATGGCATCGTCGCTTGGGACACCCGTCATTTGGCTACCTTAAGCGTCTGTTTCCATCTTTATTCCGCTCTTGTGATGTGTCCAGTTTTAAGTGTGAGACATGTATTTTGGCCAAGAGTCATCGCACTGTATTTTCTTTGAGTGACAGTAAAGCTGCAAAGCCTTTTGATTTAGTGCATTCTTATGTGTGGGGTCCGGCTCGCATTACTTCAAACGGGTTTCGTTGGTTTGTCACATTTATTGATGATTGTACCCGACTCACTTGGGTTTTCTTGTTGAAAAATAAACATGATGTTGCTTCCATCCTTCTAGAGTTTTGTACTATGGTGTCTACTCAGTTTCATGCTCAGGTCAAAGTATTCCAGACTGATAACGGAGGTGAATATGTGAATAACACTGTGGCATCTTTCTTCCTTGCTCAAGGTATTATTCACCAAACGACAACCCCATTTACTCCTCAGCAGAATGGTGTGTCTGAACGCAAAAATCTTCAGTTACTTGAAGTTGCCTGTTCTCTTATATTGGATATGTCTGTTCCCCATCATCTTTGGGGGCATGCTGTTTTATCTGCTGCATATTTGATTAATCGTACTCCTAGTCGAGTTCTTGATTTCAAGACTCCACATGATGTGTTTAGTGACCATGTTTCCCCTGTCTCAGTCTCCAAGTTGCCCCCTAAAGTTTTTGGATGTGTTGCCTATGTTCATGTCTACTCTCATCAACGGAGTAAACTTGATCCTTGTGCTCTGCGATGTGTCTTTATTGATTACTCTTCTACTCAAAAAGGTTATAAGTGTTATCATCTACCTACTTAGAAGGTGCATGTTACTTTGGACATGACTTTCCATGAAGAAGTGCCCTATTATGTCTCTCATTCCTCTCCAATTCAGGGGGAGATGGGGAGTGAATTGGAGAATGATGTGTTTGAAGATACTTCTCTCAGGAAGGAAACAACTGGTCGCACTGAACCAAGTGACCGGTTGCCTATATCTAAAGATGGAACTTGTGGTCTCTGTGAAGAAATGAGTGATCACCCTTTGGAACTCGACCAGTCGCCCATATCTGGAGATGAAGCAGGTGCTCTCGGTGTCGAAATGACCGGTCACATTTTAGTGTGACTGGTCGCCTGTATCTAAAAATAATGACAGTGATTCTTATATGGATGAATTCGATGCAATACCCCTCTCTGCCCTACCAGTGCCCCAATTTACTCGTGATAATGAATCAAGTGAGGTAATTTCTAATGATCTATCTGTGTCAACTTATCAATTACCCCCACGAATCACTCGTGGTAAACCTAAAGTACAATATTCTCATAATATACATGCCAAGTCTAAATATCCCATTAGTCATTATGTGTCAACTTATGGTTTGTCTAATTCATATGCATCATATTTGTGTCAATTATCTAGTGTATGTGTGCCAACTAAGCTGCAGGATGCTTTATCTAACCCCAAATGGATGGATGCCCTGAATTTTGAAATGGATGCCTTGATCAAGAATAAAATATGGGATTTAGTTCCTTTGCCACGAGGGAAGAAAGTTGTTGGATGCAAATGGGTGTTTACTTTGAAGCATAAAGCTGATCGTTCCATTGACCGTTACAAGGTTAGATTGGTAACAAAGGGTTATACTCAGACCTATAGAGTGGATTATTTGGAGACCTTTGCTCCGGTAGCAAAGCTCAATACTGTATGTGTACTATTGTCCCTGGCTGCTAACCGCGACTAGCCCTTATTACAATTCGATGTCAAAAATGTGTTTTTACATGGTGACCTCAAAGAGGAAATTTACATGGATCTCCCTCCTAGTATTCCTGTAACCTCTAAGGAAGGTGTTGTGTGTAAGCTGCGGAAGTCTTTATATGGATTGAAGCAGTCTCCAAGAGCGTGGTTTGGGAGATTTGCAGCATCTATGAAGAAATTTGGGTATGTGCAAAGTAACTCAGACCATACTTTGTTTCTAAAGCGTCATAAAGGTAAATTGATAGCTTTAATTATTTATGTTGATGATATGATTGTGATTGGAGATGATCAAGCAGAAATGCAAAATCTTCAGAAGTATCTAGCTTCCGAGTTTGAGATGAAGTCATTGGGTGATTTGAAGTACTTTCTTAGGATTGAAGTTGCCAAATCTAAACAAGGTATCTTTCTGTCTCAAAGAAAGTATATTTTGGATTTACCTACAGAGACTAGAATGTTGGATTGTAAACCAATTGATACTCCTAGTGAACAGAATCATAACTTGGGGTTGTATCCTGATCAAGTCCCTACAGATAACGAGCGTTATCAACGACTTGTGGGGAAATTGATTTATTTATCTCATACACGTCCTGATATTGCATATGCAGTGAGTGTAGTGAGTCAGTTTATGCATTCTCCAAGTGAAGATCATATGGGTGCTGTGATGCGCATCTTAAGGTATTTTAAAGTAACTCCTGGAAAGGGGTTAATGTTTTGCAAGTATGGTCATACAAATGTGGAAGGGTATACGGATGCTGATTTGGCTGGTTCAGTCACTGATAGACGTTCTACGTCTGGGTATTTCACATTTGTTGGTGGTAATCTTGTTACTTGGAGGAGTAAAAAGCAAAAAGTGGTGTCTAGGTCTAGTGCTGAGGCCAAGTACCGTGGGATGGCTCAAGGTGTGTGTGAGTTACTATGGTTGAGAAGATTGTTGAGAGATCTTGGGTTTGGACCCCGGAAACCCATGGATTTGTATTGTGATAATAAAGCTACAATTGCAATTGCGCATAACCCTGTGCAACATGATCGTACAAAGCACGTGGAGGTTGATCGACATTTTGTTAAAGAGAAGTTGGATGCTGAAATTATTTCTTTTTCGTTTATATCATCTGAGCATCAACTGGCAGATGTTCTTACGAAAGCTGTGTCTACTACAGTCTTTCTCAACTCGCTTGACAAGTTGGGCATGCGTGACATCTTTGCTCCAGTTTATTATGATTATATTTCTTTCCTTTTTGTACAGATATTGTGTAATTAGGTTTTTATCTTGTTTCCTAGTTTGACCGTACTAGGGTTACAT